TAAAATCCTAAGCTAATGAAAATACTAAATAAAATAAAATTCTTAATGCGCCTGCATCAAAGCTGCAGGAAACTCTTTTTTTTTTTTTTACATTATATTCAGAAAATCTGTGCAAGTGCCTTTTTATACTTTAGGTGTTTTTAGAAGGTACCTTATAGACCCATATCATTCTACATCCTACTATGACTATGTACTACATTGGGAGTCTTTATCACTGAGAAATCAGTCTATATGAGGCTTCATATTTAGCTCTATAGTTCAGGGTTTTTAATGAACAAGAATTCTGGTTTGCTTTATCCCTTGTTTTGCCTTCTTGCCTTTAATGCTTACAAATTAGCCCCATTGTCCATGACATTTTTTACTAAGAGTGCAGCAAACTAAATCTGCCACCAACTTTGACCTTTATCTAAATGTTCTTTAGAGGTCCATCAACTATTGACGAAGTCTACCAACCTAAGCTACATGACCATTTCAACTTAAAGTTTTTATCCTTACTTTGAAGTTTGCTCTACTTTCTTTTATTTTCACAAAAGGTCCACCCATAAATGGAAAATAGAGTTAAAGGCAGAGAGGAGAATGAAATGGAACAAAAACCAAACAATAGAAAAGTATATGACATAATTACGAATTAAACTGAAGTATGACAGACAATAACTTAGACTAAAAAAACTTCAAGAAGAAAAAAGGAGATATAGTTCTAACCCTGAAAAAACAAGAATCCAACTTAAGAAATTCAAAGTCATAATGCTAGTACAGTAACCAAAATTATAATTACCTGACCATTATATCAGAAGGCAAAACTAAAGACTAAGTTAAGAAAGTAAACATATTGTATACTTTTAACCAAAAGTATAAGCAGAAACAAAAAAATTTATGTTAAAAATACAACAAGAAAGAACGAAAAAAATTAACTTTTGGAAGGTAATTATATAACTGTTAACATACTGTTACTTAACAAATGTTTAAGCGTGGTAGAAAACAAGGAATAAAACAAACTTATTCATGAGCAATTTGCTGGCATTGATGGAAACATATTTACCTCAAAGGCAAATGTGAACTGCAAAAATTCTTTTCTGTGACAATGTCTTCAGGATGAACCTGTGAAGAACAATCCTTGTTTGGTATATTAAGACATAATTGTCCAGCATTCACCAGAGTAACACTATCAGTGCCTGGCACTTCATTTTCATGTGTAAAATCATTGCCAGAAACATAGCCATTGAGTGTAGCTTCAGAATTTGGAACAAAGGCTTCTACTGGACAAAAAAGAGCAGCAGCAATGGTGCTTGCCAGATCCTTGATTTTCACAATGCGCAGGATGCAACAAAGTAGATACAAAGAAGTGACTGCACCAATCTTCATGTTCTATATTTAGAACGTAACAAAAATTAAAGAAGAACAGGCAGCTTGTATACAAATCAAAGGTGAGCTTTCCAAGCCACAGAAATACCCCAACATCCAGAATTAAGAAAAAGAAACTAAAAAGAAAGAGTTTCATACACTGTCAGGGTCTATCTGGAGAGCCGGAAACAGCAAAGGAAGTATCAATAGCTGCATAATGTTGTCTGTTATTAACCTCCCAACAACAGGAATCCCAGCAGAAATAACATCACTAAAGTAGTAGAGATTATCCTCAATTTCATCTACAGTAGCAAGTATTGCAGAGACTGACTCTGAGCATGGATTTCTGTCTCAGTCACAAAACTGTATACGTTAGCAAAAAAAGGCATTCTGCTTGTTTTCATAATAAGAACCTTACTGTGACACTTACTTTGGACAGTTAGATACCAATTTGCTTAAATTGATGCACTGCTCCCGGAAAAATGAGACCAAGTTTGAAAAATAAACAGAATGAGGAGCACTAGTAACGAATTTATTGACAAATTCATCTCCAACTGAAAACCAAAATACATGCATCAGAATATAATATTCTTTGAACTAATAAATAAATGCATTTAAAAAGTTAGAAATAGAAAATGAAAAGACAAGGAAATGATGGAAAATAGAAACCCACCATGATAAACATTAAGTGTTAGCGCACGCACTGCAGTGCGAACCATGCTTTCTTCATGAAAAGCAAACCGTATTGCCTCAACATACAATGGGAAAGAAACTACTTCTTCCTAGACAACAGAAGAAAAGTAGATGTCATCACACCAAAGGAGAGAGGCAAAGAGAAAACGAGAGAGACAGCATTTTTTAATGGAGGCTAAAATATATATAAAAAAATAAAGCACATTTTTACAGGGCAACCTATTCCATATATAAAAGAGACAAAAACTTACATCCCGAGTCTTTACAAGCAGAGAAATTGTATTCCTGTCCAACTTTCCACTTATTGCTCTAAACAAAAACAACATGCAATTAAAATATCATTGTTAATAAATATTTTTCAAAGACTTAGAGGTTAGAAAATACAAAAAAAAAATATGAGCATACTAAAGTCACTTATAGAGATGAGGACCACTAAAGGAAGAGAAAACAAACCTTAAGAACGATATATAGTAAGAAAGTAGCTCTTCATTGCGGAAGTCAAATGAATAAGTTATTAGGTAGTTAACATGTTCATTACTGAACATATAGTCTGCAAAAAATTTTCACAGGTAAGATCAATAAAATCATCATACAGTGTTAGAACCAACTACAAGGACCAAGGACCTGTAAAATTTGGTTCTGTCTTCAACAACAACCAACTTACATATGGCATGTTCACTTTTAAGGTTTTGAATCATAATGCTTATTGTTTGAAGTAACTGAAGAGAAACAGTCACAGCTTTGCTAATCTTCAGTATACGTATGAACTCTCCCATGACTTGCTTCTCCATGAAAAACCTGCAGCGAGAATGGATGATATAGAAGTGCTGAAACAAGAAATTTGAATCAATTAGGTATTAAGCATCAAGAAGCCTCACTCGAAAAAAGATGAGTCATGCTGGTCACCATATGTCAACAACTCTGCAATAGATCTCAGTGCCTCAATGACAAAATCCTTCATAATGAATCAAAATATGAGGGCACACGGTACATGGTAAAACAATAAGTGCAATTACAACAATCAGAAAAGGTACAAGGGAGGTAACAAAATAATTGTTACCTTATTAACTTCATTAACAATTTGAACTTTCTGCAGCTGGTCTGTTAAATATCTGCACACTAGGAAACACAATGATTAATCTAAGAACATATTTTCAAAGACACAAAACTCCAGCCCATATTTCAACAGCAATCAAGTTGCTTTTCTAACATTGCCTTACAAACAAGCATAATTTATTCATTAGAAAGTTCTAATAACTATTCATTGAAGGGATTCAAGAGCAGAAGATTCAACCAGAAATGTTAAATTCTTGTTCAAGGAATTCCAGGGCAACATTTCAGTATCAAAGATGCTATCCGAGTCTTAACAATAGAAAAGAAATAGAAAGAACATTAGACTTGGTTTCCATACAGCCAATCATTGTGCATAGTATTGATGAAACATGCCAAATTTAATTCTTCGTTTTGTTGTCAACTTCACCACATGCTTTTTGTTCCCTTTAAAATTGCTATTAAAAGCAAAAGCAAAATTTTAAGGAAAAACAATCATATTTAACCAAAAAAAAAAAAGAGCAAATAGCTAAAACTGTAACATGTTAAACATAATGATTATGGATATTGTAATTTACATGACTTCAATTTTTAATCCGTATAACAGTAACGCACTAATTGCTCTTTACTTCCGAAATTTTATAAAGAAATAAAAGTAGCATAGTAGTATTAACCAAAGGATGCCTATAATACCGAGGAAGATAGAAGCATTAGTATCAATTAATTCAAACGAGTTTCGCCACAGAATTCAAGAGAAATTGCCTTGACTAAGTTGAAATTTGTCTACTATATGAAGTTAAACTGTTGGTAGCGATTAAATAATTAAATCCCAAAATTAAAAAAGAACGAGTAAAGTCATTCGATTCAAAAATTAAAAAAAAAAAAAAGAAGAAGAAACGAAAGGAGAAAACCTGAGTTCGTCTAAGGAGAACCGATCTCTGGATCTCCAGAAGGAAAACCACATGATTGGCACGTCAAACGTCAGAATTTGGCTCACCACTATTCATTCTGGCACCGCCTCACAATTCATTTTCACTAATTCCATAGCCCAAATTAAAGAAAAAGAAAACAATGAAATTTGCTTCACTTTTTTTCTCTCTGGAACTTTCGATCAATGTAACTTCGGGGGATCCGATCGAGGGCAAAATTGTGTTAGAAAATCCAGGAAAAACCACTTGTATTTCTGCAATTCGTTGCCGAAAAGGGGGAAAAATTAAAATATGCAGGTGTTTTGAGATCAATTTATTATTACAGTTATTTCCTTCTTCTTTTTTTCCTGTAATAGCCGCATACAGGCCTCGATGGAGGTCGAGCTGGCAATGGCATCGGGTTTAGGTTACGGTTCAGGTCACGTCCGTATTGGGTGGCCCAAACCCAACACTATTCGGAGTGTTTGTGTACTCGATTTTTCAATGGAACCCCACAAAAATAGTAGTGTAGCCTAACTCCAACTCCGTATGAGTTAATAATGGTTTATTGATAAAACATAACCAAACTTAAAACATTTTACTCAAAAAAATCAAATATGTACTATATATTAAAAGTGAGTCCAAAAAATCAAATCTATTCTGTATATATTAAAAGTGAGTCCGAATGGGAGTTCCAATTGGACTCCCATTTAATTGGGGCCACAGTGATTTTTTTTTTTTATTTTCATCAAGTTGCTTATTTGATAATTGTGGGATTTTTTAACCTTCTTTTGACTTTTCACAATCAGCCTTTCCTCTTCTATAAAGGTAATTTTGAGTTTTTAATATGTTTGTATGTTATTTTGATCTTTTTCATTGTTATACTTCTAGAGTTTTCCCCTTTCCCTCTAGATTTCTTCACCCTCTCATCTTTTACTTTTTCCATTGTTAACGTTTTTTTCCACTACTGGTTTCGTTTTTTATTTTCTTTTCTTTTCTTTTATTTCTTTCAGTGTTTTTTGTTCACTTTCTTTACTTTTTGATTTGTTGTGGTGCTTTTCTTTTTGGTTTCTTTACCTTTTTTGTATTTTAATTTGTAATTTATTTTTTTCTTTTTTCTTGCCGTTTGGTTATTGTTCTTAATTTTTACGATTTTGATCTTGGATTTTGCTTTGCAGGTTAGTTTGATTTGTTATTTGTTTTGGTTTGGTAGTTTACTTAGAACTCTAGTTTTGGTTTGGTTTGTTCTATTGCTTTGTTATTTATTTTTTTGTATATTTTGTGAAAAGCTTTTTTAAAAAAATAATTTTTTTTTAAAGAACAAAATCAAAAACAAAAAAATTTAAAAAAAACCTTCAAATAAGAGCTTTCTCTTCTTTTTTTTATAAAAAAAAAATACGTTAGCTTATTAGGAGAATTATTTTTTTTCAAAAATCTTTTCTCAAAAATTACCCCCACTCTCTCTATTGATCTCTCTTTCCTCTCCCTCTTTCTACAAATATCATTTTAAGGTTTTTTCTTTGGTTCTTACAAAAATTAAGAAAAAATAAGACCCAAAATTCAAATTTGCAATCAAGTATTATTTCTTCTTTTTCTTTTTATTTTGTTTTTCATTTTATTTTCTATTGTTCTTTTTTTTCTACTTTAAAAACTCTTTTTATTATTTAATATTTCTCAATTATTTGTTTGATATGATAATTATGTAATGTTTATTTATTTTTAACTTTTTTATGGTGCATATAATATTTTTTATTATAATTAAAATAATTAGTCAAATAGATCAATAATTGTTGAGAAGTCGATTTTTTACTCATTTGTGGTACCTCAGATTTGGAGAATTTTTATTTTAGGTATAATAATAGGCAGCATCCTGTAGGCTCTCCTATATCGTTTTTTTTTTTCAGATGCCTTAACTATCTAATGTAATGGGATCATTTTTTTCCTTTCAAAAAATTTATGTATATACATTAAACCCAAAATCTAGTCAAATTGTTAAATATTGGTATTTTACTTTCTTGGTTGAATTGTTATTATAGTGGTTCAACCACCAAGAATCTAACAATTGCCAACATTTAACATAAAGATGTAATAATTTATTATAATAGTAATTTATTCTAATAAATATATATAATCTCGTCATAAGAATTAGTTAATTACTATTTAGGAGTTTATTTGGGTGTCTTCTTGTTTGAGTGATAATACAAGATTTATTACTTTATATATGGTGTTGTAGTGTTTGGCTAGCCAAGAAATACCTCCACCTAATTTTAAAATTTCTAATAAATCAAAACATAATGCAAAGTGGGATTTGGTCACTACTAAAATCTTACTTCAAGTTTGTACAGATGAGATTCGAAAGTGTGAAATACCAAGAATTTCATTTAAAGCTAAAAGATGGACAATTGTAGTACAAGAATTAAATACTCATGCTAATAAAAACTATCCCAAAAGCAATTGAAAAATAGACTGGATAGTCTAAGGAATGAATGCGTTTTTTAGAAACAATTGAAAGGCAAAAGAACATGTTTGGGTTAAAACCATCAGAGGGGAACCATTGAAACTAATGCCACATGGTGGGAAGCCAAAATAAATGTAAGTATTTTAAATTTTATATATTTCATCTACTATAAATTATTTTATATATGCACGTCATTTAAAAGGTTCTTTCTCTTTGATGTTTACGTAAGCCAATCCAAAATATGTCAAATTTTGGTATCAAGGGTTGAAACATGCTGATGAATTGGAATTTATATTTAAGGATATAGTAGCCACCAATCAAAATGCATAGACACCGGCAATGGATGTACCAATTAAAGATACTATGAGATCTACAAATCTAACTCCGTTGTAAGATAATGTTGAATTTGATACTAAAGAAATTAATTATGATAAAGATGACGACCTTATGGTAAACACCCAAATCAAGAAAAAAAGAATAATGCTAGAAGAAATGGGAAAAAAAGTGGTAAAAGGTAAAGCAAAAACTAGGACTGCAACAAGCTTGTAAAGAACATTGGAACAATCATGTGAGGTAGTAAAAAGTCATAACGCAACTAAAAGCGTTGAAATTTTAGTGTCATCACAAACCATAAGACAATATAGTATTTTAAAGTGCGTTCAAGTAATGAAATCTCTACAAAATGAGAGAAAATTGAGTGCAAATGAATTTAATTTTGCACTGTAATTGATTAAAAAGAAAGAAAATAGACTCATTTTTATTTCATTGCTAGATTTAAGTGATAAGCTAAACTGTATTCAATATGAGGATAATTTATCAAAAACTATAGTGGGAGTAGTTGAATAGTTTAGATTTTGATTTGTTTATTTTAGATTGATGTTGAACTTTAAACTACTTTCTTTTTATATTTGTGTTACTTGTGTTATGTAATTGAATTGGTTTTTGAAATAATTTTCCATTATCCATAATATATTTATTTGAATTGTTATTTGTACTATTTGATTTGTTTCTAATAATATTTATTTTTTTAATTGATATATTGGATTTCTACTTATGTATTTTGATATTGTCAAATAGATGTCTTCTAATGAAGTCAAAGCATTAGTACAAGTTATAAAAAGAAGAAAATGTGCAAGGGTTTTATCAAAACATGTATAGAGGAGTTGCTATTGCAATTGTATATCACATGAAATACTTAATGAAACAAGGAAACAGATTTAATTATTTTGATGGATGGAATTGGATATGTGAAACTTTACAAACTCCAAGTAAAAGTTATAGAATCTTTTAGATGGAATCATATACTTATAGATACATTAATAAAAATGGGTTGGTTACATTCATTTAAAGACATGACAGCATTAAGGTAGTCGTTATATTCTTTAGACTTGTGCACATAGCAAAATAAATCATAATGTCCAAAATAAATTTGAAAAATTGAAAGAAACTGTAAATAGGAAGTTTGGTGAAGTGTTAGATAGTTTATGCTTACTGGCCAATGAAATCGTCTAGGTTCCAGATTTTCAATTTGTAGAAGTTCTATCAACATTAAAAATGATTGTAGATATTGGCCATATTTTCAAGGGTGCATTGGTACTATAAATGGATCACATATTCCTACTATTCCTCATTTAAATGATCAAATTCGTTTTATTAGTCGAAAGGGATATCCAACACATAATGTCATGTTAATGTATAACTTTGACATGTTATTCACTTTTGTGAGTATTGGTTGGCCTAGCATTGCATATGACACCTGCATTTTTTCAACTGTGCTTTAAGAAATAAAAGTGTGTACTCTTACTATCCATAAGGTACAACTTATAATTTTTATGATATAAAGTTTGCCATTCTATATATTTATCTTTTAAATTTTTACAGTAAACTAATGCTAAAACCTTTAACTTTTTTTTAGGTAAATATTATGTACTGGATGTTGATTATCCTAATATGAAAGGGTATCTAGCACCTTATAAAGGTGAAAGATATCACATTCTTGATTTTAGAGGTTGTTGTCAGCCAAAAGGTGTAAAAGAAACATTCAACTATGCACATTCTTCGTTAAGAAATGTCATTAAACTAACAATTGGAGTTTGAAAGAATATGTGGCATATGTTACATGATATGAAGCCATTTTTGTTGATAAAATAGGAAAATATTATTGTTGCAAAAATGGCACTTCATAACTACATGAGACAATATGGTGTTATAGATAAGGAGTTTGACAGATGTGATTGTAATCCTAATTATATTCCTGAAAGTCAAGAAGAAAAAGTAATGATGAAGAAATGAGTTCTTATACTTATGGAAGAGTATTGGATGATAGTTACATGAGTAGAGTTCACAACCAAATAGTTACTGTATTAATGGAAATTAAAAATCTTTAATTTATGAATTATGTGTTATTAATAAATTATTTGTGAAACATTTTTTATGATTTATTATTAATTATAAACTTTATGTTTTATAAAAATTCTCTTTATATTTTCACAAATATATTTTAAATATATAAAAAATAAAGTTAACTTTTTCTATTTTGAGCAATGAAACTCGTGATTAATAGAAAGTTATTTATTAAATATCTTTTATATTAATTTTAACAAAACTTAAAGTTTATATAAGTTGTTTTGCCAACAGCTTATCTATAAAAAAAGAGCTTATAAAAAGTAAATTTACTAAATAATTTTAACTTAATTTTAAAAATTATTATTTTTTATAAGAGTTTTATAATAGTTTTTAAGCTAAAAAAACCAGGCCAAACATACTCTAGGATTATAAATTGATTGGATAAAAAAGTCACTTAACAATATAAAAAATTACTTTCCCGTATAATATCCAATTAATCATAGGTATTTAAACTATTTTTGTTTCCTCTCTTGAAGATACTTTCTATCTATAAATAAACTATCCATTATCGTTCCTC